AAGCGAGAAAAATCGTCTATGAAAATCACATAGTACTTAAAACCAGTCATAGAGGAGACGGGTGCTGGACCCCATACGTCCGAATGAACTAGTTCAAACGGTTTATTACAGATAGAGCTGCTAGTATTAAAAGGTAGCTTGTGGCTTCGGGAGAGATTGCATGCCACACACAAATCCGTGGAACGACTGGAGATCTCCGGGATTAATGCTGCGAGATGACGAATGGTTCCTGTACTAGGATGCCCGAGCCTGTTATGCCAAGTGTAGTTGAACGATCTAGTGGAACAAAGTGCTATCGGTCTATTGCGAGTAGGAACTTTGATTCGATAGAGACCATTGTGCTTGGGACCTTGCAGAAGTATCCGGTTGTCCTGACAATCCTTAACGGTAAAGTTGTTAGCATTAAACGAAATGGAAAGGTTATTATCAGTGGCCAAATTTGAAACGGAAAGGAGATTATGTGAGAGGGAAGGTACGTGACGTATGTTACGAAGAAGAAGCTTACGATTGGACTCGGGTAAAGGTAGGATTCCCTGACCCGAGTGCTGAATTGGGAGGTTGGATCCGTTTGCAATAGATACTGAATCCATGCCATTGTACGCAACTGGATTTTGGATGTTCTTAAGATCGGAAGTTAGATGTGAGGATGCGCCGGAGTCGAGGATCCAATCGTTGTTAGCTGGTTGATACTGGGCGGAGAGAGCACGCTGATTGGAGGGAGGGGCGTAGCTTAGATTGCAGCGATGCCAACAGTTTCCGGCTGAATGTCCTCGCTTACCGCAGATTTGACATGTAGGACGATTGATAGAGGTTCTTGATGTTTCTTGATTGTCAGCCGTCGTCGGAGCTCTGGGTGCGGCAGCAGAATTGCTTGGTTTATTTGATCTTCCCCTGTAATTTGACTGTCGTTGAGCCAGGAGTGCCGTGGCTTCCATCTGACGTTGATCTTGAAGATTTTGGTGCCGAAGATTAATTTCTTCGCTGCAAAGTAATGAGTAGAGATCGTCTAAAGTAATGGGTTGAAGTGATGTTCTGATTGCGGTTTTGAATGAATTGTAGCTGTTTGGGAGGCCATTCAAGATATAGAGAACTATATCCTCTGTATCGACAGTGGATCCGGCTGCGGCAATGCTGTCCACGATATTCTTGATTTGATCAAGGTATTGTTGCATCGTGCGATCTTTCATTTGAATTTGATGCAACTCGTTCTTGAGTTGAATAACTCGAGAACGGTTTGTAGGTTGCAGCCGACGCTCCAGCGTGGTCCAGACGGCGTGAGCACTGTGGAGATTGAGTACGTATGGAAGAATCGATGATGAGACGGTAGAGAGGATTGCGGATACCAGATTTCTGTCGATAATTTTCCATTTGTTGTGAGCTTCGACATCGGAAGGTGACGGAACGGTGATTGTTCCGTCGAGATGGGTCTCATATCCATTTGCAGAAAAATGTTGGAATAATTGCAGTTTCCAAATGGCATAATTCTCCGTCGTGAGCTGAGTCGGAACAAGATTTTTGATGTTGGATATGAGAAATTTGAGGTGGGGAGGGATGAAGAATTCGGATTCTTGATTTGTAGCACATGACGTTGTCCGGCGAGATCCGATGGACAGTTCTTCTGCCATTCGGATGATCAGTCGAACTTGAAGGAAAGAACGAGTTGCTGAGGTCGGAAGAAGATGCCGACGATCAGAGAAGGGCTGTGGAGCCTTGAAGCTCTGATACCATGATGAAATCTTGAGAGAAGATGAAGGCGGGAAGATACAGAGAAATGTAAAAATGGAAATTGTATTCACTTGAGTTTTGGCGTACAGAGGAGAACTATATATAAGCTATTACAGGAATTAATTACAACTAAGGACAAGTGAGGAAATACTATTTGGTGCTTTAATACTGTATTCCTCCGCCTCTCACCTTGCTACGGCATTCTATCTATCTACAATTGTGATCTCTTGGTATATTTAGAAATATCATAAATAAAAGTGATTAAATAACGGAACGCTGAGATGAAATGAAATATGAATCAATTAGGATTTTATCAAATTTTTGTATATAAAATTGGAATATAATGACATAAACCTAACCATGAAATCGACTTATATCTTTTCTGAATCTATATCTGGAGTTCAGATTGCTTCTCCTATTGATGCCCTAGATCAAATGGTTTATATTAAATCAGAAAAGTATCATGAAAGTATTGTACTATTGACAGATTTTGGCCATTAGATGTAAATTTTTTTATTTTATTATATTATTATTTATTACATCATCTGGTTCGACCCCGGTTCAACCGGTCAAATCATGAACCTCTCCTTCATCCGGTTCAATGTCCGGTCCGATTTTCAAAACCTTGGTAATAAATAATAATATTATTAAAAAAATAAAATAAATGATAAATTTTCCTCTAATATTTTCATTCTACATTCTATTTTCATATCAAAATAATCAATAATTAATGGCACTTGTTAATTGTTTACGAGTGTGTGCAACCGGAGTGCAGATGTGCTACAATTTTGAAGCTCAGAACCTTATATTAGTTCTTAAGCATTAGTTGAGAAAACGTATACTGAAAGAAATAACATAACCTGAAAAACCGAAATGCTCATTAGAGATTCGATGCAAAAGAAATCAACTTTTAATATCAAAAGCTCAAAGAAGCAAAATAGAAAATGCCCTCAATCCTAAACGGAATTGTGTTTAAGAAACTAGAAAATGAACGAAAAAAAAAGAACTTAGAAATTATGGCCAGATCTTACTGTCGACCGCCGCGTGTGTCAACCAACGAGTGTCGATCCTTTCCTTTGCCTTGCTTTAGGTTGGAGAAGGGAGCGCCGAAGAGAGCTGCGACTTCGGAGAACAAACGCCAGTCGGTGGGGGAGCAGAAGAGAGACCAAGGAGAAGTAAAATTTTCGAAATGCCTACGAGGGTGAACGAAAGGCAAAAAGAAGCGAAATAGAAATTGCGATTAGGGTTATTCGCTGCCAAGTAAATCTCAGCCGTTCACGGTTCAATTCAACGCCCAAAACATCTCGTTTTTGAACCGGCCGGTTCTCCGGTTTCCCGGTTCGACCGGCGGTTCATCCGGTTCTTTTTGGGTTGGATGCTACACCGGTTTCCAGGTTCTAACCGACCGGTTAGCCAGCCGGTTCCCGGTTCAACTGGTTGACCCTGCCGGTCCGGTCCGATTTTCAAAACGCTGCTAGAAACTATTTCAAGAAGCAGCAAAAAAACCGTCTCAAACAAAGCCTTTGATATATAATATTTTAAAAGACGAGTAATAAATTTTACATTGTTGGCTCACGGTCCCCTCTCCTCTCCCTCTCTTGATCTTGCAAGAATATCAAACAAGATCTTCCTCCTTGTTTCTACAGCTTTTATAAATTTCTCATATAAATTGGTAAAAAAAATTGGATATGAATATGTTGATCAAATTTAATAAAATGTATTTAAAATTATTAAATCTATTTTAATGTAAATAAAATATAAAAATTAATTGATAATTTATACATCATATTCATTTCAAAAAAATAATAATAATTTTAAATTATTTCATATAAATTTTAACCACAATATTCTCAAATATTTTCCCACGTGTTTTTCTTAGTTTTCCGGTAGGCTATTTTCAACATGACGAGATTCCATTTATTTCTTTCTCGTAGCTGTTCAGTCATCCGGTTTGTTCGTTTCAGCGGCTAAGGATTGTTTGCATCTAAACGCTCCAAAACTTCATATTTGCAAAAACCGCCAAGTTTTATTACAAAATTAATACCGCCTTGCCGAGAAATTTCTAATGTAATAAAATGTCAACTGTGAAAACAATTATCTATTTATTTATTTTATTGACGAAACCAGATAGTTGGAAATTGTATTGCAGCTGTACAGAGGCTGCAAAGTCAAAGGAAAATTTAAATGAGGCGGAAAGTGCAATATTTTGTTCAATTTTGCTCTTAGGGATTGATATGTTTAAAAGTAAAAATTATTATGTGCGTTGTCCGAATATGTCGGAGGTCAGTACGGGAATGCCACGTCACCCAATGCACAGTGCATTGGATGATATGACGTGTCCGAATTAATCTCCGGACACAGTCATACACCGCACTGAATAATATCTCGTTTAAAAGGGCCTTAACATCTTTGCACATATGAACATTAGATCCAAAACAATAGCTGAAAAGCATAATCATCATATTCATATATGATAAAATGGGCTCTATCTCAGGAAGCACTGGGGTCGGGATGATGTGGTACATCCGGATTCGCCTCCGAACGAATTAGGATGCCGCACCTAATAATTTGCTCTATCTCAGATGGTATAATTCCTAGTTCATAGTTTTCTAGTATTACATGTGGCTTCCTTTGTACTCAATATTCTCTAAACTCTGCAAATTTGATACTTAAGCTTCATTTGTGGTAGCTTTCTTATTGCTTTTTAAAACGATTTTTTAGAGCAAAATTTTTTAATTCAATAAATTTTTGTACTAAAAAACTGCTTTAGAAAATAGTAAAAAAACTGTCCCAAATGAGTCCAAAACGAAGTCTTATTTGATATTAATTTGCTCAAAATCTCAACCCATTCCCCACCTTAATTGCAGTTGGACTTTCAATTTTAAACCATGCCGATCCCTGGAGAGATTATTCTGAGCGGATGCCGGACACAGCTCTACGTCTTGAGGTGAATCAGGTACAACCACGTCAGTGTTACCGAGCAGTACCAAACCGCGGTACCGAACAATATCGACCAGGGGTGATGTGCTGCATTCTGATTAGTCTCCGGACGACGTTCGGCATCCGCACAAAATATTTTTTCCAATCATCAACTGACCCCAAATGCATATAAGAAATTAAAAATAATTGATTAAAAACTAAAATTCCAAAAAAAATATCAAATTGCCAGACTTCTTCTTCTGAAGTATATAATTCAAAGTCAGTCTCATTAAAAGACAAGTAAATTAAAGTTGCAATATATATAATAAAGAAGTGCCTTTCTTCATCAGAAATTCTTAGACAAAGTGGACTTTGATAGGCAAGCCATTAGGGAATTCAAGAAAGGGGAAGGAGACAGGAAAGTCCTTCTCTGCAAGCTCCCACTCATATTTTTGAACAAGATGGTGCAATAACATAGCCATTTCCAGCTTTGCAAGCTCAGCTCCTGGGCAAAGGCGAGGGCCTCCACTGAAAGACATAATCATATTGTTCTTCGAAACATTGCTCAGTATAATATTCTGCCAATATTTGAAATAATATATCAGTCATTTATTAACTTTCATAAATTATTTCTAAATTTGCTAAAATAAAATTAATATATATATCCTCTTCAAAGTTCAAACAATATATTTTTGACATAAAAGAAATTTAAATATACGCCAATATTCCAACGACTATTTTTTTAAATAATTATTTTTCACTAATTATTTGAGGCTGCATCTTTAATAATTGGGGTATAAGACTGATAATGATAGTGATAATTTTTTTTTAAATAATTATTTTTCACATTCAGTTTAAGCTCACCGGTCTAGAGAAATGTAGGAGGAAAGAACTATGTGCTATAGTAATTTCATTAAAGAGGGTATGGGATGGTACATATGATATAGGTCATTTCAGTAAATTAGAGAAAGTTTTTCTCATCTAGCAAGTTAGGCGATGGGGACCATGGGGTTCCATATTTAGTAGATCTGGCCGGGGAGCAAGAGCTGCATTAAGAGTGGTTGGAGGTTGAGGATTAATGGTGGAGCTCAAATTCCTGTTTTTTGAAGTGGTGGGTGTGATGCTTTTGTCATTGATGATGCTTGTTCCCCTTTCTTGGTTGTGATTGTAGTTAGCATCTCCAAAAGTAAGTTGATGATCATCGGAGAGATTGTGGAAGAAGTGTTCGTTGGTATGGATTTGGTGAGGATGTTCGTTGATTGATCTTGCGTGTGAATTTGGGGGATTTATGTTCTACGTACCATAGCAGTGGATGAAGTTTTAAATGAGTACAAATTTGGGGGAGAACCAGGGGTGTCAATTTCGGGTATCGGGTTGGGTTCGGGTGGAATCTGGAACTGATCTGACATTATTCGACCAGGTCTGTTTTTGCAAATGGGTCAATATTTTGGATCTGAATCCGACCTGCTTCAGGTTCGGGTTGACCCGAACCCGACTCGCCAAGTTGCTATTCGACTTTGCTCCTTCGTTGTTCGACTTCGCTCCTTCCAGTCGGATCGGAAGTTCAGACATTTTGATCGAAAGCAACGACGAGAGTTCGTAGTCGCTCGTTGTGAAGGAATCGTTGACTGCACTGCTCCAGGCTCCTTCGTCGACTGCACTGCTCCAGTTGAACAACAATTCGGCTTCGCTCCTTCCGATCGAAATATCGGATCGAAAGTTACAATATTTTGATTAGAAGCAACGACGGGAGTTCGCTCGCTGTGAAGTGTGAAGGAGTCGCTGATTGGGCTCCGGCTTCTTCTTTGCTGTTCCACTTCGCTCCTTGTCTCCTTGGACGACTTTCACTTCTGGTCGGATTGGAAGTTACAACATTTTGATCGGAAGTAACGACGAGAGTTCGCTAACTATGGAGTCGTTGGGTCAAAAACTGGGTCATTCTCGGGTTTTCAAGTCAACATGAAATTCAAAACTGGTCGACAATCAAGACCCGAACCCAAAATTTTCGTGTAGGGTTCGAGTTGGACTTTCGTGTCGTGTCAATAATTGACACCCCTAAGAAGTACCTGAAAATACTACGAGCAATCGTCAACAAAAAATACATAGTAATTGTAATGTTGGGTGGAAAAGGGATTAGATAGGCTCCCCATGCATTAGTGTAAATAAGCTCTAAATGTTTGTATTGATGTTTGTTGGTAGAAAATAAAGGTAGTCATTTCACTACAGTAGGAGAAGAGAAGCTTTTCTCTCAAAGAAATTTAGGCAGTGGGGCTCCATGCATAGTAGTAGATGGAGTGCGAGAGCTGCAGTAGGAGTGGTAGGACGTTTGAGGATCAACGGTGGAGATCAGGTGCTGTGTTGGACCAGTGGTTATGATCGTGATCATACCAGCTTCACTGTACTGGACTACTGGTTGAATTGCAATTATTAAGGTCAAGCTATTTACCTGTTAATCAGGTCTAAATTAATCAACACATCACTTTAGCTATCGTTAATCAACAGTGGATCTTTTACTGATCATTAACATAGCATGCCACCCATTGACACGAAAGGTAACTGTTAACTTACCTGCCACCTCCAAGGATTAAATTGCTGGGGATCCTCATAAATTGAAGGGTCGAGATGTTCGGCTGAGATTATGGGAATGACTCCCCAGCTGCTAGGAATGTCATATCCTTCACATGAGCAGAAAGAATTAAAAAAGTTATCACTGATGTGGCCAAGAAAATTTTCCAAATAAAAAATTCGATTGAAAATAAGTCAACCTGATCGGTTTTAAAAAAAAAAACTGTGTAAAAATTATCATCGAAAATTCGAAATATACCGCTTTTCTTAACATAAAAACAATCTAAAAGTTTATCCAAACAAAGCCATAATTTTTTGAGAAATTATTCTGTGCGGAATCCGGATGATGAGAACCGTTTAGATTTGTTGTGCTTTTATTTAGTATTTGCTGCACTTTTGCAAATACTCAGTAAAAACGTATAGAATTTATTACACTTTTGTTGAGTATTTGTTGCGCTTTTATTGAATGTTTATTGAGTTTTTGCTGATTTGTTGCGGTTTTATAGAATATTTGCTGCTTTTTTATATTCAATATGTAGCAAATACAAATTGAATATTTGTTACGTTTTTTCTGAGTATCCGAACAGAATAATTTCTTGAATTTTTTTCTTATTTTGCGGTAAGAAAAGCGGTTAGTAAGAAAATCATGTGTTTAGAAGATGGTTATTTCACCCCAATTTCAAATTTTTGCCGTTAAAAAAACTGTTTTTGAGAAAATATTTTTGAAATGGTGACTAAAAATTGATGAACTTTAAAAAGTAGAAAATGAAAATAATTTAATTAAGCCGCCCCAAACAAAATCTTACTTTTCCTTTTTAGTTCAGTTAATTAGTGATAAATTTGTAATATTAAATAATTAGATTTTTTATCCATTTAATTAATTTATTTATATTTATCTTACCGTTGAACTGAACATCTCTAATGGCCTTTCTGTGCAAGAACTTGACAAGGTTTCCGAGCCTCAGGGTTTCGTTAATTACCTTCCAAATCAAACAGTACAATAGTTAATATTTAAATTTAATTATCGTGTTAATTAAATATTTTCGTGGTTAATTAAGAACTAATTAGAACTTACGCATTTTGTAAATTCCATCTTCTTGTAATCATCCCAGTTCAACCTTGTCTCTCCCATTTCCATCTTTCTCTTCGAAATCTTGCTGTGTTCTTCCTGTCATTGTAAAAGGAAATTAATTCCATCATTTTATATTATTTAATTAAAATTAATATTGGATTTAAGATTTACAAATTAATCCTTTTATTGCATTCACAAACATAAATAGTTTTTAATTTTGCACTTAAACTAAAAGAAAATGATACCCTTATTTTTCAAAATTTTATTTCCATCAACAAATAATTAACCAAATTTATGAGCTAGTTTTTTTGGCACTTCAATGATTTAAGAAACTTTTTTTTATATTGTGGGTAAAAAGATATAATTTTAATTAAATTTGTTATGTGCTAAAAAATTAATGGGAAAGAAATAGAATTTTACATTTTAGTTTTCCATGAATATCCATCATGCACCGATGAAAGAATAGGATGCAAAGAACACCTGACTTTTTACGTAGAAAATTAGATACGAGGAAAAAAATCATAGAATTTGATCTAGTTGAAATAATCTACTATATATTTAAGATAATAGAAGTTCATTTTTTCATATAACTAAATAAGACGAGATCATAAAGTTGTGAGTGATTACTTGGTCTTATGTCGTTATATTTGAGATTATAGGAGTAGTTGAGGGATTTTGTTATTAGTTAGATGATATTTATTGGTCGGATGATGAACTGTCGAATTATGATGGTTTGATGATGATAAATAAACTATGAAAACTTTCAAATGATCAAGGATAAAAAATGGTATGGCCAGTAGGTTACATTTTATTTATTTATTTATTTTAAATATTTTTAAATTAAATAAATTCATAAAATCATCAAAGATAAACAACCAATTTTTTTGTGTCACTTTGACTAACTAACTCCCCCAACCACCATTATCTGACTACAATCATCCGATAACTGTCGTCCAACTATGATTCTCTAAGCACGTTTGACCGATTACAATCTCTTGACCAACATCATAAAGCATGATCTCTTGATCATCGTCACCTGACTAGAGTCTCAGAACCAATGGCACCCAACTATAATCTCCTTACCATCATTATCCAAATATAATTTCTGACTATTATCGTTCGACTAAGATCTTTCGACTACATTCGTTTATCTATATCAACACTCGATCGCTAACTTTGTCACCCTCCATGGCCACCAACATCAACGCCTTCTATCACATATGAGATTGATGTGAGCTATGAGCTATCAATACCAACAATCCAAGAAACCATAGATCGTGAGCTATGAGCTATCAATATACCCAACAAATTACTGAAATTAGTTGGGAAGCAAAAAAAAAAAAAGCAACAAAATAATTTTTTTCTTAAATTATAATAAAAAATATTACTATTAGGCAAAGTTTTAACCTTTAAATAAGACTTTTTTAAAGAAATTAATGTTATTAGTCAAAGTTTTTGTCTTGTAATAAGATTTTTAAGGAAATATTACTAGTTAAATTATCGGCTTTATAATAAAACTTTTTAAGAAATGTAGCTCATAATATCATGCAGTTAAGAGTACACTCATAATATCATAAAAGATGTCTCTAATCTAGAACAAGATTTTGCTCATATATAATATTAAAAGGCAAAAACTTCATTTGGTATAATTTTTTTATTGCTATCTAAAATAATTTTTTAGTATAAAAATTTCTTCTACTAAAAAATAATTTTAGAAGGCAGTAATAAAGTTGTGACAAAAGAAGTCAAAAAGATATAAAAAATGGATGAAAAAAAAAAAAAAACAGAATAAAAGAATTGTACCCGTAATTGCTGTAAAGCTTTGGGGCAAGATTGCAGGAAATAGATAGCCAAGGAAATAGCAGCAGATGAGGTTTCATGGCCAGCGAAGAGGATACTGAGTATTAGATCAAGTATCTGTTCTCTTTTGAGATCTGTGTTCTTGACCACTGAAGCAAGAAGGTCATCATCTCCTTGCAATCCTTCTTCGATATTTTTTACTTTCTCATCTAATTTATCTCCAATTATCTTCAGGATTACCGACCTTGACTGCAAAGTTCAAATTTAAATAAAACTTTTTTTTTTAATATAAAAATAGGAAATAAAGTTCATATGCAACAAATCAAAAGCTTAATTAATTTCTCATCAATCAAAAACAAAAATAACAATATAAAGCTTTTATCCAACTATGTGGGAGTCGCTGTATGAATCTTTTTTCTCCATTATGCCCTATTGAAAGCAAAATTCTCATTTAAATCTAATAAAGAGATGTCATTTCTAATATTTTTATAATCAAGTCTTTTTAAGTCTACCTCTACCGTTCTTAACATAAGTCAAATATGAGACATCTACTTTCCTAACCGGGTCATCGAAAGGCTGTCGTTTTATGTGACCAAACCATCTAAGACAACTCTCTCTAATCTTATCTTCCACTGTAGCTACTCCAACCTTTTCACTTATATGCTTATTTCGTATCCTGCCTCTAAGAGTAAAGATCATCCTCATTCATGCAACACTTAACTTAATATTGTGCTTCTCTTTGAATGACCAATATTCTGTACCATAAAGCATTGCAGATCTAACCATCATCTTATAGAATTTTTCCAAAAGTTTAAAAATTAAAAAGTCATATAAAAAACTCACTTATTTTCTCTTCAACAAAATAAAAAAGTGCAAATTAATTTGAATTCAACACATTTTCCATTATCATTTTCTTATTTTAAATTCTTGAATTACCTGTAAGGCTTTCCTGTAAGCTGTTCCAGGCAAATTAATAGGAATAGAGGCCATTCCATTCATGAAATTGGTGTATTCCTTTCTCAGCTGTGCTGTCTCTGGCATGCTCATGTTCATGCTCATCAAGTATTTCACCATTAGATTGAAAGCAAACTGCAAAATGACAATAATAATATTAATAAATAATTTCTAGTACTCTTTAAAGCATTATCTTAAGTAGGCAAAATTAGTGATAATTTTAAGGAGTAAAAACTCAAAATGATTTGGATTAATGGTGTTTTCTTATAGAAAACCAAAAATGATTTTAGGTATTCTAATACTTTTTATTTTATATATTCATAAATATAGTTGACGTAGATAAATTTGTAAATTTTTTTTTACAAAGAATTAAAATTAATTAAAGTGATTATTAAATATTATGATAGAAATTAATTAATATTTTTTTACTTCGATTATAAATTTTAAATTAATCTTGATTAAAATATGTAATAATCTTTTAAATCAAATTTATTTCTTATTTAAAAAATATTCATTATTATTTTTACAGTAATTACATTTATGAATAAATAAAATCATTTGGGACGTTTTCTATAGAAAACACCAAATTTTCTTACATTCCTTTTAAATATTTTAAGATCCTCTCACTTAATTAAAGTATCCTTAATTAGCTATTTTAAAATTTTAACCTCTAAAATACTATCCTTTGCAATTAAGTATAAATTTATCATTTTCATGTAAATTTTTTAACGTGTGATTATTCATCTTTAGCATGCTTGAAAAAAAAATATTTCACTTATTACATACAAATTATATACTTTACAACCCAATTTTAATACTAATTTTCTCCCAAAATAAAGTAATTAACAACTTATGCTTCGTTTGGGACAGCTTTTTAGTGATTTCCAAAGCAACTTTCTAGAAAAAAAATATACTAAAAAAACTACTTTATAAAGTCTTACGTGTGAGGGGTGTCAATTTCGAGTCATGGGTCGGGTTCGTGTCGAACCCGGAACTAACCCGGAACTATTTGGGTCAACATGAATCTGACCCGCTTCAGGTCCAAGTCAACCAGGCACGACCCGAATAATCCGGGGCCGACCTAAAATTGCTAGTTTTCGGGTAAAAAAATAGGTCAATCTCTAATTTTCAGATCAAAACAGGTCAATCTCGAGTTTCTGGGTCAAAAATGAGTTTTCAGGTCAAAAAGGTTTAATTTCATATTTCTGGGTAACCCGAACACAACCCGATTTTTGAAACGGGTCGATTTGTTGAACCCGAACTCGACATATTTCGGGTCCAAGTTAACCCTAATCCAAAATTTTCGGGTCAGATTCAAATCGAATTTTCGGATCATGCTAAAAATTGACACCCCGGCCCTTAATAAAAGTTATCCAAAGGAAGCCTAATCATATACCTTCTTGGCTTCCTCGTGAGCAGAGAAGGTGATGTTCTCACGCCAGGCACTAATGATCTGCACCGCCTGCTCTTCGATGTCTAAGAGGAAGTCAGCTTTGAGCTTAAGATTGCTTATGAAACTGAGAGCAATGGATCTCATCTCTCTGTGGATCTCTCCCGTCAAAGCCAGCATTGACCACTTCCCCATTATATTTTCAACGCCCTTCGGATAGCTACACAGAAACAGCCTCTCTTCGCTCTGCAATATGAATCTATTCAAGCTGGGATCAGCCGATACGATCGTCGGCTTTCCGAATAGCTTCACCTTAAAGATCTTCCCATGCCTGCATGCATACCTCATGTAAACTTATGTTGGCAATTAATCAATTAAAAATATCATTAAGGTCAAAATATTAATTTGTATGCTAAAATATCCATAAATATAAATACACGCCAAAAATACAACAATATTATCCGGCCTTAGGTTTTATTTGGGACGTTTTTTTACTGCTTATTAAAACAGGTTTTTAGATTAAAAAATTGTACAATAAAACTGCTTTAAGAAGCAGTAGTAAAGCCGTCCTAAATGAAGCCTTATTCCCACCACGTGAGGTCGGCTACATCAATCTTTATTTCTATTATGTCATGTTAGAAGTCAAATTTGTATTTAAATTTAATAAAAGTATAATTTCTAATTTTAATTTAGTAGTCAATACTCTTTTTAGGGAGAAATTATTCTGTGTGAACATTGGACGGTCCGGAGACCAGCCAGAATATTACATGTCACCAGTACGAGTACCATTACTGAGCAAAAAGTGACATGACATGTTTTAGTTGGTCTTCGGAAGCCGTCTGGTATCCGCACATAATAATTTTTTCTTTTAGGCCTACCTCTACCTTACTTAACATAGGTCAAATCCAATGCATTTACTCATTGAATCGGCAAATTATTGCATCAGGTCACCTTACGGGAGAGATCCGTTCGGATCTCTCTCTCTGTCTACAGTAAAGCGCAAGTAAAGTGCAAGTGTGCTACAGTAACCTGCGCTTTACTGTAGACAGAGAGGATCCGAACGGATCTCTCCGTCAGGTGACCTGATGCAATAATTTGCCCATTGAATCAGGTCATGGGAGGAAGGCCGATGTTTTATATGTCCAAATCATTGGAGCTACTCCAGCATTTCCATGGAAAATATGCAAAAAAAAAAAAAAATAGAGAAAAAAATATTTCTATGGAGATTTGCATTATTAATTTTAAATATAGGACTTATATATATATATGAGTTTAGTATAATTTAAAAATAATGAAATTCTTTAATAGTTTAAAAATAATGAAATTATTTGATAAAGAAATCGTTATAGGATTAACTAATCCAATTATTTGATAATTAAATCTATTTCCTTCAAATTAATTATTTGCAAAAGTACTATTTTTATACCGAGCGATTTGTTGGTCGACGAACTCGCCCAGACTTGCGGAGGAGTGTGGTCGCATGAAGGGGATGGTGTCGCCGATGAACGGCCAGCCGCCGAGGTGGCCGGGAGGGAGATTCCGGTACTTGTTTTCTTGGTGGCTAGTTATTCTCCGCCGGAAGATAATCATAATTAGCAAGGTGATTATTAGAGTGATTAGGGGGATCGGAGATGAGAAGAAAGTGATCAAGAGGAGCTCTGTAGCCATTGAGGAAAGTAAATTAAGGAGCTTGTTGTAGCTCTATGCTCCTTTTTTTCTGATCCGATAATAAATTTGATGAAATGTTGTGGGATTGGCCATACGTATTTATATATTAGAGGAAGGGGAAAATATTCTCTGCCATCACCGGATCCTTCGGAGTCAATTTATGATGTGCCACATCATCCAGTGCACAGCAATTCATAATATCAATATACTGTAAAAAGTTATATCTGATTTGCCTCTGAACAAGGTTCGATGACCACAGAATAATTTCTCCGGAGAGATAGGAAGGGGAAAAAAAAAACATAGTTTTTATTATTATTATTAAAAAATTTCATTGTGGATTTATAGAGATCATCCTCTTTAAAATTTTTTAAATATTTTTAGATATTATAGAATTTTATTTATCTAAATTAATCATTTATAAAGAGATTTATTTATGCACTTTCTAAAATTTTAAAAATCAAAATTATAGATATTATTAAGGATATTAAAAATATATTTTGAATAATTAATTTATGCAAGCTTGGCCCGTGCGGGTATTCGGATGGCTCGCTAAGCAAAATTTTTAGTTTTCAATTTTCACCTATGGAATAAAAACACATTTGGTTTACATAAAGTAATTAAGGTTTTGTTTGGGATTTCTTTCAGATTATAATTAAAAAATTTATTTGATCATTATTTTCAATATTTTTTTATACTAAGAAATTATTTTTAGAGCAAAAATCTCTACAATATATTTACAATCATCTTTATAAAAAGTTTTAGCCATCTCAAACAGATTCGAAGTTAATTATTACTAATTACAAATTAACATCATCATTACTCTCATAATAACAATTATGAGAGGATTTAAAGGATTTTTTTTCTAAGTGTCCGTTTGGGACTATTATAATATTTTGTAAAAGTAGTTATAAAATTGTTGTACTAAAAGTGATTTTTTAAAAGCTGTTAATAGCAAAAAAAATAATGAAATTATAATTATAATCTGAAAAATATAATTAAAAAGATATCTCAGATGAAATCTAACTTTATCAAAAAATTTCCTGCACCAATTGCATGAATCCCTTGTTTGGAGTCACGCTATTTCTATGATAAGTTGCCATGAAATTATGCTAAGTTTTTTTTTTTTTTTTTTCAGTTGAAATATAAATTTCAAAAAATGAAATATTTCATGACAGAAATTTTGGTATTTATATAATTACAGGTCAGACAGTCAATTATATGAAAGAATGCATATTTTATGATAAATTAATGTTTCAAAGAAGATATAGAGTGTATGGATGGCCTTCTATATTATCATGATTTGTCTCAAATAAAATTTTAGGCTTTTTTTGAGATAATTTTCATACTGCTTTCTAAACTCTAAATCAAAATTTTAATACGAAAAATTTTTGAACTAAAAAATTTTATATTAGAAAATAACTTTATAAAGCAGTAGAAAATTTCTCTCAAATGAAGTCTTAGGATGTAGTGGAGTAGCTTTTTTAAGTATTTTGCTTTCCATATTGCTATTTTTTTAATGTTAAAAAAAAATTGAATTTTTGTGATAAGGTTATAAAATGTGATATTATAACAAAGTTATTATGAGATTTAAACTGAAAAAAAAAAAATATTGACAATAGTTTTAAGAAAATTTATTTTTCTCTACAATACCTCTTCAACTTCTTTTACAAACTAATGCAAACACCACAAACATGCCACAAAGAACCCCTTTTGCGGGAGAGATTATTAGGTGCGTACTGCGGACGGGGAGAACCGTCCGCACAAGCATTGGGTACCTAACGGTACCCGCACTCAGTACTGCTGGGTACCGCTGCTGGGTACCGCTAGGTACCCAGTGCTTGTGCAGACGGTTCGCACTCCGCACCTAATACTTTTTCCTTTCGCGGAAGCTCACCAAGGGCACATCAATTTTGGGAGAAATTATTATGTGCAGAGTCCGAACATAAAGAACCATTCGTTTTGTGATTGTGAACAGTAAAAGCATAGTAAAAACGTTACTGCTGTTCACCACTGTGTTAAAGAGATTCTCAGTGGACATTATTGAAAATGGTGCCTCATTCTCATCATAAAAGTTCTCATTGGAAGTCACCACCAAACTCTGCCATCTCAAAAGTCTTGCATGATGGTTAATAATTAAAATTGGGAGTCAAAAAGATGTAGTTGTGAATTAAGATTTGGGGACATCAAGCATTAAATATAAACATTTGCCTCACTCTTAACTTGGAGACATCAATATTACAAATGTATGGAGAATTAGTAAAAATTATGACAGAGTCGATATGAAAAAAAAATGATGATCTGATAGCTATGGCTTGGTGTAATAACAATCTAACAATATTGTTTGGGCAGCACTAAGTCGACAATGGTAAGTTGATGATGGCTATCTGATGACGATAGTCAGATAGCAAAGGTCTGACAATAGTGATAGAGTAATTGTCCAATGAATGCGATCGGACAACAGAGGTTTAATGACTGTGGTCGGATGGCTATTGTTTGACAGCGGCGATCGAGCGATGGTTAGATAACAACGGTTAGGCGTTAAAGGTTTGGCAGTGACAATTGAGTCATGAATGTCCAACGAAGGTGACCAAGCAGCAAAAGCCCAACAAAGACGATTGGGCGATGATCCAACAATGACGATCGAGAAATGGTCCAACCTCGACGGTCTGACAATAGTATGATCGTGATGATTGAGCAACAAAGTTTCGATGATGATGATCGAGTGATGAAGATCTAGTGGTTGTGGTCGGGCAGTGAAGGTCCAATGACAACATTTAAGTGATTGTCCGGTAACAATGGTAGTTGGGAGGAGCTTTAAAATTCTTCAAACTTTTAAGCACTCATGAACCTCTAGCCAAGAGTACCCCTCATACAGAGAGGAGGCAAATTAATATGGAGAAAATATAGATCACTTCTTGAACAGCTCATATTGATTTCTCTAATGATAAAATAATTGTTCAACATTTAAGTACCTTAATACTATCATAATTAAGTTATACTTGACTCATTAGATTTATCTCATTAAGACATTTGATTAACTATAAATATACGAATTTTCAATAAGTGGCGAAGATGGCGGTGGCTAACGGTATATTTACAAATTTATCAAATCTAATCATTTTCAAATGCATCAAAATTACTACACTAGAGAGAGAATTCTAAATTCAATAATAAATTACATTACATTTAAATTCATCCCACCAAATACTTGAATTCTTAAAATGCAATTTACACTATAAATGCATTCAACTAAATGACCCCTTATGAAACATGTAAAAAGCATGTGGAGCTCTAAAGATGTGAAGGAATAATAGAAATTGAGAAATACACATAAAGCGGATTAGCCTTCATAATTTGACTAGTCATTAGCACAAAATTAAACGAAGGCTTTATTTGAGACAGTTTTCTCATTATATTTTCTAAAATAAATATTTAGTACGAAAATTTTTAATTCAAATAATTTTTTAACTAAAAAGTTTTATATAAAGCATTAAGAAAGCTGTCCCAAATAAAGCCGAAGTCACTAATCATCTGCTTGGATTTGCTACAGGAAATTTGATTATTTCTGTAGGATGTGATGTTATGAATGAAACTGGTGGTGTGGGTTCTGGTTTGGATGTGGTTCCGTCTCCTACTGCTCTGGAGGCGGTGGTTCCTTCTGTTGAGGTGAATGTTGGTTCGCTAAAAATCTGCTTGGATTTGAAACTTCACCTAAATAGTGCATCAGGCCTACAAATCCTAAAAGTAGATACTGAATGGATACTGAATGAAGACAAATGTTTAAGTTCAGAATTTATTAATTGCATGGTTATGAAACTGTAGCAAAGCATGCATCGATGATTAATATAAAATAATTAAAGTTTATCCAACAAAATTTTGGGGTATTTGGAACGATTTACTATTTTTGTGTAGAATCCGGATGTCGTCCGGAGATCAATAAAAATGTTCCACATCATTCCAAAATGTACCGTGCTTGATACGAAGCGTAACCGGACGGTTCTTCAGTCTGATATCCGTAGAGAATAATCTCTCATTCGGAACACCAGATTTCTTATACAAACTCACCCAATCCTTTTTACTATTTAAGCCTCTTCATTTTTTTTTTCTTTCCACAAAACGCCTCAAGTTTTCGAAGCAGGGCATAAAAGAACTAAAAGGCAATAGACTTAAAGCTATATCAGATGAACTTTTATTTGGTCCGGTCACAGGACGTAGCTCTACGTTCGGCCGCCAGTAGAATCGCTGATGTGAAACGTAAATGCCATATACTTGCCTAGGTGACAAGATTAATTAAAGCTCAAATCAATTTGGGGAGAGAGAATGGAAATCTGAAATTAATGAGTAATTAAAGCTAATTCAAATTCAAAATGAATTGTCATTAATTGGGAGGATTGAATGATTAATTGATTTAAATCTGAAATTAAATTTCAGATTTAAATTAATGGTTATTGGCTTAATTGGAGGGACGAATTTAAGCAGTAATTGATGCTAACTCAAATTCAAATTTTGAATTTGAATTGTCATTAATTGTGAGGATTAAATGATTAATTGATTTAAATCTGAAATTAAATTTCAGATTTAAATTAATGGTTATTGGCTTAATTGGAGGGACGAATTTAAGAAGTAATTAATGCTAATTCAAATTTAAATTTTGAATTTGAATTGTCATTAATTGTGAGCCTCTCTTAATTAAGAAATTTTCTTTATTCCAAGGAGGAAGAGAGGGGGAGGTAGGGGTTGGTGGGCGTCGGCCTAAGGGATGGCCGGCGGGTGAATTTTTGGACGGGCCAACAGGGCCGACGGCAAGGAGAACTTGGGGAGGAAAAGCCCGAGCTTGGTAGATGATGAGAAATTTGGGAAAATCTAGGAATTTCTAACCTCACGCTCTTAAACTTCAAGATCTCAAAGGAGATTGTAAGGATGTCGGAACTCACACAGAGATCCACGAAACTCTCCTCAAGAACTCACAAAGAGATCTTGAGAATCTCGGAACTCACAAAGAGATCCGCGAAACTCTCCTCAAGAACTCACAAAGAGATCTTGAGAATCTCGGAACTCACAAAGAGATCCTT